TAAACTAGTTTTTCAAACCAATTTTTAGTACAAATTCAAATCAATTTGAAATTTAATTTTGAACCACACAATAAAAAAATAATATGTAGCAACATGAATGCACAACCATGTTGCTAAACTTATGATGAATTTTAATTTCAATAAAAATTATTATTTTCTCTAGGTTTAAATGTACACAAAAAAATACATAATTAGATGAATTTAACTCTTTTTGAAGAAAAGCAAATTTTAGGATATTACATATACATATACATATACATATACATATATATATATATATACATATATATATATATATATATATATATAAAGAGGCAAAATTTCTCTCCACCCATTTTTGGTCCGTCCCTCCCTAACTAACTCAAGGAATATAGAAACTGTTATGCACATAGATAAGGTAACCTGGATAGCTACAAATACTAATACTAATCCAAATAGATCCCTTCCATCCTGAACAACCTGAATAGGAATCCTAAATCAAATAGAAAAGGATAAAAATAGAAATTATACAAAGCTTATCATAATATCAAACCACGAAGAGTTTTGGGTTTTGGTCCTTTTTATTTTTGTTTTCCTGTTTTCTTATTAGTGTGAGAAGTTTCTTTCTATTAATTTTTTGCCCCCACCTTATCCGATTGGCTTATGTTTTTTTCACAATCCTCTTTTTCCACATTCAAATGCATCTGTCGTTAACTTCCATATGATTTTTTCCACTCTATTTTCATTTTTTATCATACAAAAATAAAAAACAAACAATAGATATAATAATAATAGTATGAGCAGTTGAAATTCATCTCTTTCTTAAAAAAATAGGTATTTACACCACCAAAGTTATTGATGCAATTTTGATTAGAAAGAAAACTGATCTTATTATAGTCTGATTTAGCTGATGATCTAACTAATCAAATCGTGAACTACAATCTAGAGCAGTTTGTGTCCATATCAGTCTAAAGAAATGTGTCTAATATGCATGTACCAATGTAATATTAAAATGATGATATAAAATTAGCTTATGTTATGAATGTCATAGTTATCGTAAAATTAATAAATTATAGCTTTAAATTTTTATAGAAAGAGTGAAACCTAAAACGTAAATAGATATGTATCGTTTCGGTTCTCGATTTTCATGAATATTTGATAGCTTTTTTTCTTCCGTTGCAATGCACGGCATGTTTGCTAGTAATCAAGTAAAATATGAATTATATGTGGAAAGGGAAAATAGAAAAGGAAAAAAATACTAATCGAGTACCCAGGTGGTGGACTTTAGTCAGGAGTCATCCTCACGCCGCATGCCTCGGTTGACGTAAAGAAACGAAAAAGAAGCCGTCAAGGATACGCGGCGCGGACGGAAACATCTTTTAAAACAAAACAAAAAAAACAGATGGTTGCATGATTGTTGAAGCCGAACCACTTCAAGATTATTAGGTTGGACCAAAATTTAGTGTAGCAAGAAATTTTACCTCTTTAATACTACTAGCAAATATGGCCGTGCGTTGCAACAGGAGAAGAAAAAACTATCGGACGTTAATAGCAAAATAAGAACAAAAATGTTATATATCTATTTATATTTTACCTTTTCATAAATTTTAATAGCTACTAGTATAATGTCCATGCTAACGTTACGGCAACATTTAGGTATATACAAATTAGAACTGAAATATATGCAAACTAAAACAACCAAATTATATAGCATAAAAAAAAGACTATATTTGTTTCAGGTCAAAAAAAAACATTATCCATGGCAATGATAGCGGCAAAAAAAAAAATCGTGACGATTCTGCAAGCATCTTCTATATGGAGACTATTATGTTACAGCAATCTGCTATGAGCACACTCCTAATAAAAGTAAGGTCATCAGCAATATAATATTATTTCTGCTATACTCTCTCTGGCTTTCATTCCCTTCCAAAGATTGCAAGGAACAATATTTGTGCATATACAGTCTTCACCAGCACTTCAATTTCAGAAACAGACAGATCACTTAATTAGGCACACTTTTGGAAGTAGAGGAATCAAGAAGGGGAAAATGCCAGGAAATCAGGGATCAGCCAAGTGGAAATTAAAATAATCTTATCAGCCAGATAAATGCATACCCGAACACTGTTCAAGCAAATTTACAAATAAGTCATGACAAAAGGATTACAAAAAATAGGGAAGAAATTGCAACAGAATTAAATCGCTTATCTTGTGCCGCTCGTCCACTCCATTCGCGTCCCTTACCTGACGAGTACGTATGCGCGATCGAATTCGAACGAACCAACCTGCAGGGTAAATAAGGACTTGTGTAATTATATGAGGACATGAAAATTCATCTATTGTAGTAATTATACACCCGTGTAAGTAATTATATTTCCAAAAAAACAAATAAAAGGGTAAACAAGGACTTGTGTACGGGCATTCCACGAATGTCTAATATAGTAACATTATTACAAGGTAATGAAACTAAAAGAAACACAGGAATATAAATACAGATATTTCGTAATTTCACAATATATGCTTGAGTTGGAGAAGCGAATGGGAAGGAGAGCTCTTTGAATTTCACAATATATATATTCTTCAATAGGCTGGAGGGTTCCACCATCCAGGAAAGAAATACAGAACAAGTCATTCTCATTCATGGACACTAGATATTTTAACTAAAGTAAATTTGCACTGTGCAACTCAGACTTCTGAGTTTTTCGCCTTAAAACAGATACAATTAGCAACTATGCATTTTACTTTGATACAAGTTGCGGATGAGAGCTGAATGGAAAGGATGAGTAATTTATCCTGTCTCCAAATGTCAAGCAGAATTCAGCATAGTCTGAACAAGACTCCCTTCGTGAGCACAACACACATTAGTATAAAAAACCTCACTTCAGAGTTGGGAATTTAGTATGAGATCTGTATAAAAAGGGGAATAGAGTTATGGTAGTAAGGTGTATTGTCTTACATAGAGCAAATTTATTATCCCTTTAGATCATCATTTAGTGAATATGCCTTGCTTATAATGCCAGATCACACAGCCGATGCAGTAACTGTTAGAAGCATGATCCATGTAATTTTTGTTCAAAGAGGATAGTTTAAGCACAATATAATTTATTTTATGATGATCATGACGTCCATAATAAAGTTAATCTTCTGAAGCCTCAATATCGAGCTCCACCAGACGTATATTGCTGCGCTCGCTCCTTTGCCTCACCCGCTCCTTCGCGGCTATAAGGCACCGAAATATTTAGTCGCAAAACATATCAAAACTTTAGTTTTCGTACTATCCATCCATTGATAGAGTTAGTATCAAGTTTCATGACTTCTTTGAGAATCCATAAAAAATATGTAATTGTAATATATGATTAAAGTCCGCATGAGGTTAATTGTCGTCATATCAAGAATTGGTATGTCCATTGATGATTATGAACTAGACCTCTCTCGATTTCTACATGGTAACCCTTGTTGAGGATTGCATTGGTATATGTGAATAGTCTGAGAATACATTTATTTTGATTATATTGGGTGACAAACTGCTCAAGATTTTATTTTACGGTTTAATTAGTTGAACCATCGGCTAATTCAGGTTCTAATAATAATATGTTTTATTTCTAATTAAAACTGCACCTACAATTTAGTGATAAGTATATTTGTTTATTATATAGGTAGAAAGGTCGAGATTTGAAAGATCCATAATATATTATTATTTATTATTTATTTTTATTCTGAAGATAAACGGAGATATTTTATTAGAAAAAGAAAAAATAAAAACAATCACGCAAAAAACACTGGAGGGAACAAGTGACACTTTCCTTAATGTATCCAATACCACGAGCGAGTGGGAGAAAAAAAAAGATGGAAACGAAAAAAAGAACGCGGAGGGAAAATAAAGGAACCAAGGATTGAACATGATCAAAATTACGTTGCACAAAATTTTTTAGCTCTTACCCAATAGTTTTGGAATCAGGTTCCGTCGTGCTAGACAAGAGCTATTCCAACTCGTACAATGACGGGTTATATATATATTCAGTAGCCAGCTACAAAATAAGTTATTCTGTAGCCACCTTCATTTACGATAATTTTATATATTAATTTACGATAATGTCAATATATATTTATGATAGTTGGGTTACTATAACACATGAGGATATTTACCATAACGTTATAGTAAACCACTTAGTAAAGAGTTACTATAATCTCGTAAACTAATATAGTAATTATCGTAACTCAAAGTGGCTACAGAATAAGTTATTTTGTAGCCAGCTACAGGGTAGTAGTTATATATATATAAGTACGGAAGTACAGACGTAATAAACTCTCTATTATTCGATAGTTAGAGAGAGATGAACAAAAAAAATGGATGAATCGAAAAGATGGGTTGAAATTTTGCCTCTTTATTATTAAAGTATAGATATAGATATAGAAGTATAGATTAGGTATCAGGTATTAGGTATAGATATAGATAATCAACGAAATTTAAATGCGTTATGATGAACCGGTGGGCGACACTGATTTGGAAATTTTAGTGATTTGGACTGTTTTCTGTACCTTTCACCGGTTATTAAATAGGTAGAAGGCGACATGATGACAAAAATATGGCAGGCGAGAAATTTTACATGGTTAAAAAAATATAATAATCACTTATTGGGAGATATGGAATGGTGTAAAAATATGAGGTACCAATATGCCCACTCGTATAGAATTTAAACTAATTTATAAGTACCAATTCATTGGAGCAGATTTTTTAAGGTGCGTAGAGAAACGGTCAAGTTTGCCAGACCTGATGGACAGCGCACCAAAATGGTCCTCGTCAAGTTCAACGCCCTTTGCCAACGAAGTCAAACAAGACTGCACGTCGTCTTGCACTGCTTCTCTGTAGTTTGTACAAGCTTGCCTGCCTGCCTATATATGTGCTGTTGCTCCATCTCCATTCACAGAAACACTTCATCACTCTCAAGAGCAGCCAGCTACATACAGTTTACGACTACGTATAGTCTCTTTCTAGGCGCTACACACAGCTCCATTTGTAAATCATGGCGTCCCAGGATATCCAGAGCCACCGTGCCGGTGCAGAGGTCATTACCGGAGACGCCGCATGCAGGAAGAAGTCTGTTGAGCTGCTGGAGGAGCTCGGCCTCCCCAAGGGCCTGCTTCCAATGCAGGACATCCAGGCCGGAGTTCGGGTACAACCGACAGACAGGGTTCATGTGGCTGGTGCAAGGGAAGAAGAAGGTCGAGCACACGTTCAAGAAGATCAAACAAACGGTGTCCTATGCCTCCGAGGTGACGGCGTTCGCTGAGAAGGGCAAGCTAAGGAAGATCACCGGCGTGAAGACCAAGGAGCTGATGCTCTGGCTCAGCGTCGTCGAGGTCTATATTCCTGAGGCCTCGCCGGACAAGATCACCTTCAAGACCAGCACCGGTCTGTCTAACACATTCGATGCCCCTGCCTTTGCGCTCGGAGAGTAATCTAAGTTCATGTTAAAAGTACTACGTTGTTGGTGCTGCATGGCCGTCTGTATTTATCTCTTGTTTTCGCAATTTGATTTCGTATACAATTCAGTGAATTCTCGTATTCCCATCGTATATAGAATCTCAGTGTTGGACGAGTGTACGGCCCTGTCCTCGACTTCGCTCCAACACATGCACGAGCCACGCTCTGCCTTATAAACAGTCAGCAGCGGCTCCTTGGCGACGCTCTCTCTCTTACGCGTACACGGGTGCCGGCCACTCCGCGCTATAAAGTTTGGGCTAGTCAGGGCTGGTGACGTGATATAGAACCAATGGAAGGAAGTTACTCATATTTAAAATATGAACACTTCAAACAAACATAATGTTTATCCACTCCGCTCTGCTGCCTTCTTCGCCAAGTTCAAATATTTAATTTTTACATCATGTACTACCCGTTCTACATATTTGTATTGCAGGGGCCTGGTTCAGTCAACGAGCTTATTTCTTACGCTCGGGGACTGGATCACCCGAGAAGGACACAAGTCTGGGTGGTCGCACCATCTGGCATTCGGACTTCTCCGCCAGTCAACTGGTCTGACCGCTAGGTTCATGGACTTCTTCGCCGATTAGTTGATCGGACTGTTTGGTGCTCACTTCTACTCGGCGCTCATCTCACCGCCAATCAGTTGGTCGGACTGCTCGGCGGTCACTTTTGCTCGACGCTCACTTCATCGCCGACCAGCTGGTCAGATTGCTCGTCACTTGGTTTTCATCGTCAGCTACGCTAGGGCTTACCAGCTAAGTTAGGGACTCCTCGGCGTTCGGATTCTTCGTGCAAAAGTTGCCAGTTAAACTGGGGACTCCCTTGACGGTCGGATCTTACTACGTCTCATCAGTGTGCTATCAAGTTGCTCTATGTTATTCGGATCAGGGTGTTGATCTTGGGCAACACGTCCGGGGTCTTCATATGCACATGACAGATGACGTTGGCAAGCTTTCAGACTTATTTCTCTTTAACCCTGCTACAAGATTTATTCTTCATGTTCCAGCAGGCTTGGGGACTAAGTGGCTACACTTCACCTGGCGGTCAATGTAATACGTTTTTCCTAATTTACCCTTCTTATTGACTAAGTCATGGATGATAGCCATCTGACCTCGCAAATAGAGTCTAAGTGGCTACACTTCTCCTAAAGGGAAGAATTTTTAAATTTTATCTTGGACCCCTTACATCCTTCTGGTAAGCCTTACTTGGCTAAGTCTGAAATCTGTGTACAGTTAAACTGGTCGGCTACAACTTTCACCGCTCAAGTCACCGGTTAAAACTAGTTGGCTACGACTTTCACTGCTCAGGTCACTGGTTTAACTGGTCAACTTCGATTTTCACCGCGCTAGTCACCAGTTAAACTGGTCGGCTTCAATTTTCACCGCCCAGGTCATCAGTTAGGCTGATCGGCTTAATGCTGGACTTCTCGGACTTGATCAAGACGGCGTCGCCAAGTGGATACAAGGCGCTCAAGGACTATTTGTTGGGGGTACGACCCCGGGTACCCATGGCGCAAGACATGGGCCGCACCATCAGGGACGGTCCAGCCCACGACATCGATACTTGCAGCGCATGGCTCTGATCGGCGTACACCGCAAGGCATCTAGAAAATATGATCTATTAAGACTCTTATAGATATTGTGATCCTACCATATAATCTACTAGGATACTTTTCTTATAACCCTACCCCTCCAGAGTATATAAGGAGAGGCAGGGGTCCCCTAGTGGGCATGCAGATACAGATCCTGGGCTTCGCCTAGGGTTCTCTCATCAATACAAACCAATAGAGCACAAGACGTAAGGTTTTACGTCATCTTGACGGCCTGAACCTGTATAAATCTTGTGTCTTTATCTCTGTTACCATCCGGTTCCTAATCACGCGCACATCTACCGATCAATCTACCATCGTGGGTAGCCCTCTCGGTGAACTGCCGAGCATCTTTAGTCAACAACTGCATAACGGGTGCAATAGCAAGCAATAAAACACTATAAAAAGAACCAAAAAGATCCAAACGACTATAAGTGGAGCATCAAAAAGTATGACTTTTTAGTTCAATGGACAAAACCAGACTCCAACGATATTTTCATTGTAAAAAAAGATATACTTGTTCCTCAAAAATACATGGGTGAATTGTTTTTTATCTTATTAGTAAACTCATGCGAACCGTTTGATTTTGATCCAACACACCTCATGCCTTCCTCTTCCCGGACTGACTATGTTCTTCGCTCCCATGCGCTTGTTAATTGTTCATTATTTTGCTTAAAAGGTTACAACGTTTTTATATAGCGAAGACCATTGAGTTCTTTGAAAATAAAGGGGTCATTTTTTCAATCAAGGTATAAACGCAAACGTCCATGTACATGTATCCACACTCACCCTAAGCCTATGAACAGCTTTGAAAGACTGATCGATGGCTTTGAAGTTTATCAAAGTTTCCATAGGACTCTTAGTGATGAATCAGAATCACTTTATGAGACTCTTTAGTTGGTGGACTGGATTATGATCCACAAGGAAATATATTTTTCTTTAAAAATCATATAAATAAAAATATGCTTAAAAAATCCAAACTTTATGGGCAAAGAACAACTCAAATACATCCCATTTTAGCTAGCTGCATAAAAAAGATTATAACTGAAAACATATAATTGCTAGAATAGGAGGAAAAGAAACGGAAGTGGTTCACATGCGAAACCAGTCTTTTGCCGATTCGATCGAGCATTGCAAAAACAAGAAGCATTCTGGAGCGATTCTCCTTGAAACGTTTCTGTTGTCCGGCTGTTTGGCAGCGATTCTCCAATTTCACTAGAGAATCAGAACCGTTTCTTCCTTCGAAATGACCCCTAAATGGGAAAGAAACAATTTCTAGTTTTATTTGAGTCCATTTAAAAAGTTGGGGTACCCTTATATAGGGTCTGTTCGCTGGTTTGTGCTGATGTTGGTTTGGGCTGGCTGGTGCTAGTTTTTTATGAGAGGAAAATACTGTTGGCTGGTTGGTTTGAGCTGGCTGAAACCAACAAGCGAACAGGCTGATAGTTATATATATCAACCACAAATAATAACCCTTTTAGTCTTTTTTACTTTAAACATGCTACACTGTGAAGGAAAGGATATTGAGTTTTAATAAGTGCAACTCTGCTTTGCTCAATCATAGGCCTTCCAGAATCTGGTCTGAGTCTCATCCCCCTAGCTTAAGAAAAGGACACTAGCGAGAAGATGGGTTTCAATTTCATCAGTTTTAATAATTGCAAAGAGGATTATATGATTTTTCTCCATTTCCACATCTGTATTGGTAATCGTCGTTATGCTGGGCAGTCCCTGAATATTTCTAATGTTATATATAAGATTTAGCAGAAGAAAGCATGTTCAATAAATCAAGTACGTCACTACGGGAATCATGAGATCGGCAAAGCCTAAAAAACACTCGGCAAAGAATTTACCGAGTGTCAAACGACACTCGACGAATTTTAGTCGGCAAAGAGACTTTGCCGAGTGTTTTTTGTCGGACACTCGGCAAAGACTTCGCCGAGTGCCGGAAAAGCACTCGGCAAAGATTTACACTCGGCAAAATAAAAATGCGAAAAAAACCCAAAAAAAATTTCGGGGGAGGCCGCCACCGGCCAGCGCCCGCCGGTCTCCATCGAAGTCGCTGCATTTTTTGCGCTAAATTCGCGGCTAATGCGGGCCAGCGGGATTCGAACTCACGACCTCTCCCTCGCGTGTCTGCTGCTCTACCACTGCACTACACTGACACCTGTGTCTAGATTCCGTTATCTATCCTCATATATTATACTAAACCGAGAGTAAATTGCTTGTTTGAGGCCTTAAATGAATTCAAATCAAAAAGTGGTCAACTACAAAGTTTCATAATTTTTTTAGATCTACAATTTTCATTTAGGAAGTTTTTCTATCCGAGGTCGTTTGAAAAATTCGAATTTCAAATTTGAGAGATTCAAACGTAGTTTTGCATGATAAGATGATTTCAGATTAAAAAGTTGTCAACTACGTAGTTTCATAACTTTTCGAGATCTACAATTTTCATTTAGGAAGTTTTTCTATCCGAGGTCGCTTTGTCAAATGAAGAAATGACCAAAATAAACTTTGTAGATCTTGAGAAGTTATACAACTTTGTAGTTGAAAAGTTTTTCATTTGAATTCATTTAGGGTCTCAAAAATTGCTTTGAAAAACTGATTTGTCGAGGCCAAAACAAAGGCACTCAGCAAAATATATCTTTGTCGAGTGCCAAAACAAAGGCACTCGGCAAAATACATCTTTGCCGAGTGCCAAAAAAAGGCACTCGACAAAGACGCACTTTGCCATGTGTCAAAAAATAGCACTAGGTAAAATACATCTTTGCCGAGTACCAGAAAAAAGGCACTCGGTAAAGACGCATTTTGTCGAGTGTTTGTTTTTTGCCAAGTGTATTTTATTTGGCACTCGGCAAAGACCGTCTTTGTCGTGTGTCCGATAAAATACACTCGGCAAAGTGCTGGTTTCCAGCAGTGCGTATATGATCTGAGAAGGAATACAAACGACGAAGGTGGTGAAGCAATGACGATACGATTACATTTCGTGAAGCTGCTGCGAATTTGATCATCTTCCAGCGTTCACAAAAAAAAAAGAACGCATCAGTGAAGAGTTTGACTCACGCGGCACTTGACTCACACTATGAAATATGCATGCGAATGCCAGGTAGACAGTCGTCCCTACATAAAAGCAACGAACAGGATTAGACCTCGGTGTAATGTAAGAATAATCTTGTTTGCGGTCCCAGGTCTGTCTAAAATGAGACATCATGTGTAGTATACAACTGGAGCATATTGTTTCCTGCCATGATCGGAGACCTTGATGACACGAAAAAGATTTTGCAAAGCTAAAGACACCACCTGGTACTTTTCTTCTTTCGTACGTTATGCGCGCATACGTGCCCCATAAAACGTATCCAAATTTAGTTAGGCACCTAGCTAGCTAGCAGCTTTTGAAGAACGTCTCGTGTCGTCGTCACGTGGCTATCATTCACCATGACTCTAAATCAAGGTTTTAAATCTCCGGCTATAGCTATCGTTATAGCCCGCTATAGCGTTTTGAGAAAGATCAAGCTATTTGCGTCTATGTACAACTTAGCCGCTATAGCCCGCTATATCGTCATTTAGCTCCGCTATAGCTGTTTTTGAGGTCATCCGCTAAAATGTCTTAGCCGGAGATTTAAAACACTGCTCCAAATCAGATGCCGGCGGAGACAGGACACGCTTCAGCGGAGGAGGAGCCGCCGCGGCCCAAGGGCATCCTGGAACGGATGCACAAGTACCTCCTCCTGCTTGCCATCCTCGCCGCCACGGTCACCTACAACGCTGGCCTGAGCGCCCCCCGGCGGCGTCTGGGCTGACGACGCCGATGGCCACCTCGCCGGCGACCCCGTGCTGCAGGTATATGCATGCATTGGCTATGTATATGCTATTAACTGCACGTAACACTACTCTCCAATGGTTATGCATGCCAGGCTCACTACACGGCGCGGTACAACGTGTTCTTCTACTGCAACGCGACGGCGTTCGTGGCGTCGCTGGTGATCATCATGCTGCTGCTGAGCAGCACCTTCAGCTTCCACGGGTACCGCGTCCGCGCGCTGCAGGCGGCCATGGTGCTGGACCTGCTGGGCCTCATGGGCGCCTTCACGGCGGGGAGCTGCCGGAAGGCCAGGACGTCGGCGTACATCGTGGCGCTTGCCTGCGCCTGCGTCGAGTACCTCGTCGTGCTCCTGCTGCTGCACTTCTGGGTCCGGAGCAGCCGCTGCCCGTCCACCCGACGGGAGGTCTCCGAGCTGCTCAACCTGCACCGCCTCTGCCTCTGTTGCTGTTGCTGTGGCCGGAGTGACGACGGCGCTGCCGCCGCGCAAGATGCTCCCAGAGGGACACGCGCACGCGTGTGATTATCAAGGTTGTTAGTCGCGATGTTTGTATGCATGGTGTGCGAGTGAAATATGTCCATGACAAGAAGTCTGGTCCATGAGGAGTCAATCCGATCTTTGATGCTTTGACTGTCGATCAAGAGTCAAATATACTCCGGCTGTATATAGGAGTTATATATAGAAACTGAAAACTCCGACTCATGCATATGTATGAGAATACACATACATTTATTTTTTTACCATGGATAAATGAAAATAATAAAAAATGTCAGGTTTGGCCAGTCATGTCCAATCAAAAAGTCCGGTGTGCAAGTAAACTCATAAAAACAGGTTGAATTAGAGGCTTTTTTATGTAAACCACTAGGAAACAAAGCTAACACAATGCAAGTGGGAATTGGAATCAGGTTTTCTGAACTCCGTTGTTGGGATGCATGGAATTAAGATATGGAATAACAATTCCAATACCTTGGTATTAGACTATAACTAAAACTAGGCTCTCCCAATAGAGAGCCTCACCCCTCTGAATTGGGTGAACTTGGGAGTCCCCATGAAAGCCCTAGTTTAGTTTTCACTAATTGATGAAACCTATTGGACTAACCCTACGCTCTAAGTGTGAAATTGAGATAGGTTAGTCCAAGTCCAAGGGATGGAGCTAGATGGCACTCAAGTGATGGAGGTGGCCAAAAGATGATGATCTTGTGCTCTAACTTGGAAAGAGGAGAAAGAGAAAAACAAAATGGGCTCAAGGCAAAGGTATAAACCATATGGCCATTTTGTTTTGCCGGTCAAGACACTATAGATAGTGTGACCTGATTTAGGATAGATAGACGTACTATGAAGAGGGAAAAATCATGGTAAAAGCGGTTATCAAGTACCACTAAGTGAAATGATTCATGCATATACATTAGGACCTAGTGAGTGCTAACTTGAACCTTGAAAATGCTTTGGTAAAACACTAACACACATGCACAAGTGTTTGGACACTTTGGTGTTGGTATATGGAAGCAAGGGTGGAAGAATAGAGCAAAGGGAGAAGGTGTAGGGGCGTCGGCCCCTAGTTGGCAGGGCGTCGGCCCATGCGCCGCCAGTCCAACGGCTTACCCTACACTCACAAAGAAAATGGCGCGAGCGTCAGACTCGGCTCGCAAGGGTGTCGGCCCTTAGGCCACTGGTCCGACGGATGACCTGAAAAACGCGAGCACAAACAGAGAGCAGCCAAACGTGTCGTATCGACACTGGGCATGTCCGACGCCAGGCGTCAGACTGGGTCCGACGAGATTTTCACGGTTCTAGACCTCTCCGTGTAAATTTTACACCCCATTGGACCGACATTGTTCAGATCCGAGTCTGAGTCTGACAGTGGGTCTGGCGGTCACAATGATGTAAAAAAGGTGAAAAAGGCTCAAAAGATGAGGGAGAGAGACGTTGGGCGCGGCAATGGTCAAATTTGAAGGGAAGGACACGCGGCTTATGGGCGTTCATTGCTGCAGGACATCGGACCCAGGTGTCTTGGTCTGATGGTCTCGAAAGCGCGGGTCCGACGGTCGGTTTCAGGGCCAACGACTAGTGGAGCCTTGGGGGCTCTATTTAAGGCCTTTGACCGGCCTTTGCTCACTCTCTTGGACATTTTTACATGTGATAGATCCCTCTTGAGCTGAGCAACCCTCTCCCACTCATCTCCTTGCTTGATTGTGCATCTAAAGTGAGATTGAGTGGTTCGAAGTGCATTTGCTTGAGTGATTACATCAAGGGGCACTTGTGGATCATTTTTGCTAAGGTTCTTTTGTTACTCTTGGTGGTTGCCGCCACCTAGATGGCTTGGAGCAGCGGAGGAGTGTTGGCACGAGTTGGTGATTGTTGGTGGCCACATCCGGGATTCTTGTGAGGGGTTCTTGTGCCTATTCCCCGACGGAGCGCTAAAGGCAACTCTAGTAAATTGCTCGTGACTTGTGTACCCTCATTTGTGTTGGTTCTTACGGCGCCCAAGTGTTGGGCTAGGCGTGGTGCCTATTAGCGCGTGAACCACCAATGAGTGCGTCGTCACAACATGGATTAAGTTGACAACAAGCAACCGAACCACAGGATAAAAATTGTGTTTCATTGTCTATTCGATTTCTCATTGGATTTCACTATTGGACACTCGCCCGGTTCGGTATCGCATTCCTACCACCTATATTTACATTTCTAGCTTTCATCTTGTGATAGTAGTTGCTTGCCTTGCTTAGCTTGTGTAGCTAGTAGAGTAGAGTAGTGATTAGTTGTAGCTAGTTTTATCTAGTTATTCTTGCTAGCTAGCTCACTAGTTAGTTTAGTAGCAACTTAGCTCTCTTGTGTGATTTAGAGATCATAGCAAACTAGAAATTGGTAGGTGGCTTGCCTTTTTAAGTAGAGCTAGAGCAAAACGCATCATCACCATTTAGTTGACTAACACCTTGCTCTAGTGTTTTGTAGAAAATTTTATTAGGCTATTCATCCCCTATAGCTATTTAGGACCTTTCACCCCTGACCCCGACACCTCCCTCGCCGGCCTTCCCCCGATGCCGCCCCCGATCAGCGCGTCAAATGACACCACCTATGCCGCCTCCTAGCCGGGATGACTCCTCTTCGCTCGCACTGTCTCAACCCTCGAAGTCCCCGAATGCCCCTGATCCGCAACCCAGACATCAATGACTCCGTTCACGCGTCATAACACCTCCATCTTCCCTAACTATGGTCGACCACCTCCTTCTTCCCCAGCTCTGACATGCTCTAGCCTACAACCTCCTTCCTCCGACCACCTCCTCTTCTCTAGCTCTGATAGACTCCGACCGACCACCTCCTTCTGCCGTAGCTTTGGCAAGCTCCTTCTTTCCCAACTCTAGAGGTGCGGTTGCTATCGTTGACCGGAAGAGCCAGGAGAAGATGTGTCAATTCTATGTACATCCAAATAATAGATTTGGTAGTGTAAGATATTTCAAATATAAGGCTGCTTTGGTATTGGTATTCAATGCAATTCCAGCACATTCAATATCTACGTCTAAACGGACCCTAAGTATATTTGAATGGTATATTGAACTGATAGTACAACGCCCAATTTAGTTTTAATATCTATATTGTCAGTAGAGAGGTGAATATGCAGGATTTGATCTTTTTTATTATTACTTTTAGATAATAAAAAGTTCTAGTTTAATCTTGACTTTTTTTTTATTAACGTTTAGGTTATGGGAAAAGTTCTGGCTTTGTAGGTCCGTTTATCTTATTTATTTATGAATCACGGAAAAACACATACGCTCATAAATACGTACTCATGTCAGCCAAGACGTGATATTATCTTATTTAAAAGGCATATATTACATCATAATATAGGAGCGCAAATGCACAAATGCATCATATTATTTTATGATATTATCTTATTTAAAAGGCACATATTACATCATAATATAGAAGCGCAAATGCATCATATTATCTTATTTACCTGATTTAACGTGGTGGTGCATTCAATTTAATCAAATATTTATATTGGAAATCTGTTTGATAACAACCAAGAAAAATAGGAATATAGAAATTAGTTCAAACTACAAATTAGTCATTTAAAATTTAACCAACTAAATTATCAAACAAACCCTTAAACGAAAGAGTCATCGGGCATATTCTAACACGTGCAACGTTGGCCAGCACAAGTTAGCAAAAAAGGAAAAAAATGCGCTAAAAAGAAAAAGGCAAAAATGGAGATATTTTTACTACCACGACATGTAGAACAACTTTAGCATATAGTTTTGTAGCTTGTGCTAACACTGTTCATGTGAGAAGGTTATACTTGATACAAAACAGTACAACGTAGCAAACTAGCAATCTATATGGGTCCCATTGTACTAGAAAAAAGAAATTAAAAGCACTTTTCTCTCTCCTATCCACCACTCACCAATTTTTCCTTCTCAGTACCGTGCCAGAGGGACGGAAAAACAAGGCTGCAGAGAGATTATTTTCTTTAATGGCACCCGGTGTGCTAGAATAGGACACCGGTGCAAGAGTTTAAGCTTTTCTCCCTCCGTCCCGTTATATGTGACGTTTTACCTCTGTATCATGTATCAAGTACATCAAAGATTCTTTGAATCTGTACATGGGTTCTGTCCACGTGCATGGAGCTTTGAATGAGGGCGCGTTTAGTTCCAAAAAATTTTGGTTTTTGTCTATTACGTCGAATTTTTGGACGCATGCATGGAGCATTAAATATAGATAAAAAAAACTAATTGTACAGTTGGGTGAGAAATCGCGAGACGAAACTTTCAAACATAATTAGTCCATAATTAGACACTAATTGCCAAATACAAACGAAAGTGTTACAGTAGCCAAATCCAAAAATTTTCGCGAACTAAACGTGCCCTGAATTTGGACCTCTAAATGAGCTGTCACAACGTCAAATAAAGTGGAACAGAGGGAGTATGTGTTGAGAGCATCTCCACCAGTTTCTCAATAATATATCCTCAATATATATGTATTGGGTAGTCAAATATTGTTTTTTAAATATTGAAGAAGTTGTTGTAGCAGTATTCCAATATATTTCCCCCGATACTCATATACAAGTTGGGGCGTGTAAGAGAAAAGATGGCTAAAAAGTAATAGTTAGGGTGGTCCTTGTGTTATTAGGGGAGATACAACTTCCCCTTTATTTGAGGGAGATGAGGAAAATCTCGCTGAGCAAGAAAAAACATAGTTATCCCTAAGTACTCCCTCTGTTTCAGAAAGAAAATCATTATGTGATACGTGTAGGTTAAACTTTCTCAATTTTGACTATGTTTGTAGAAAATACGTGCAATATTTCTATCTCTAAATAAGTTTATTATAAAAGTATATTCAGCGACCTATCTAATCATAATAATTATATATTATAAATATTAATATTCTTTTATATATTATTCGTCAAAGTAAAAAAAATATTGACTTCTTGCAACAATGGCTTCTATTTTAGGATGGAGGGAGCAGAAGATATTTGGGAACTACTGAAGCTGAAGACACCTCCTTGGTTTGCACATTGCAAACGC